GAAAGAAAGAGAGAGGATTTAATGTTAAATTTTTGCTAACATCATGAATGCAGATCCCTTGAAAAGTTATTATTTCCACAGATTCAAAACACAGCAACAAGACTGCTTACTAGAACCTGATGTAGTGTCATATTTCATCAATATAGAAAGAGTTCAACTGCCTCAATTTGCAGGTTTCTCAGGAGACAGATAAAGTGGTCCCTAACTAGAATTGTTCCTTAAATCCTCAAGACTGTTGTCACCAGAAACGGAGACTCTAGATTTGTTTGATTGATTATAATCTACTTTTCTCCTTAAAAAGGACCCAGGGTGGCTTATATCATTAAAAGACAAAATTTAGAGCTAAAACAATAAATATACAAATGTTTTAAAGGGAACAAATGCTACTCTGAGAAATGGTAAACACACACAATACAAAAAAGACTGTCAAAGCAGTAGTGTTTAACTTTGTTGTTGTTTAGTCATTTAGTCATGTCCAACTCTTCGTGACCCCATGGACCAGAGCACGCCAGGCCCTCCTGTCTTCTACTGCCTCCCGGAGTTGTGTCAGGTTCATGTTGGTTGCTTCGCAGACACTGTCCAGCCATCTCATCCTCGGTCGTCCCCTTCTCCTCTTGCCATCACACCTTCCTAACATCAAGGTTTTTTCCAAGGACTCTTTTCTTCTCATGAGATGGCCAAAGTACTGGAGCCTCAGCTTCAGGATCTGTCCTTCAAGTGAGCATTCAGGGTTGATTTCCTTTAGAACTGATAGGTTTGTTCTCCTTGCAGTCCAGGGGACTCTCAATAGTCTCCTCCAGCACCACAATTCAAAGCATCAATTCTTGGGCGGTCAGCCTTCTTTATGGTCCAGCTCGCACTTCCATACATCACTACTGGAAAAACCATAGTTGTGACTATGGGGACTTTTGTCAGCAAAGTGATGTCCCTGCTTTTTAAGATGCTGTCATGGTTTCTCATCATCGCTTTCCACCCAAGTAGCAGGTATCTTTTAATTTCGTGGCTGCTGTCACCATCTGCAGTGATCATGGAGCCCAAGAAAGTAAAATCTGTCACTACCTCCATCTCTTCCCCTTTTATTTGCCAGGAGGTGATGGGACGAGTGGCCATGATCTTAATGTTTTTGATGTTGAGTTTCAGACCATTTTTGGTGCTCTCCTCTTTCACCCTCATTAAGAGGTTCTTTAATTCCTCCTCACTTTCTGCCATCAAAGTGGTATCATCTGCATATCTGAGGTTGTTGATATTTCTTCCGGCAATCTTAATTCCGGTTTGGGATTCCTCCAGTCCGGCCTTTTGCATGATGTATTCTGCATATAAGTTAAATAAGCACGGAGAGAATATACAGCCTTATTGTACTCCTTTCCCAATTTTGAACCAATCAGTTGTTCCATATCCAGTTCTAACTGTTGCTTCCTGTCTCACGTATAGGTTTCTCAGGAGATAGATAATGGTGGTCAGGCATTCCCATTTCTTTAAGAACTTGCCATAGTTTGCTATGGTCCACCCACTCAGCCATCCAGTTACTGAAGGAAAGCTTTCCTGAAGAGAAAGGTATTTGCCTGCTTGTGGAAGGACAGCAAAGATGGGGCCAGTGTGTTCTCCTGTGGGAGGGAGTTCCAAAGTCTGGGAGCAGTGACAGAGAAGACCCTCTACTGTGTCCCCATCAAACACACCTGTAAAGGTTGTGGGACTGAGAGAGAGGCCTCTCCTGATGATCTTAATACCCAACCAGGACCATAATAGGAGAACCAGTCTTTGAAATAGCTTGGACCCAAGCTGTTTAGGGCTTTATAGGTTAAAACCAGCACTTTGAATTGTGCCCAGAAACAGACTGGCAACCAGTGGAGCTGCTCTAATACTGGGGTTACAGTATGTGATCCATGTAACCAGCCCCAGTCACCAATCTGGCTCTTGCATTTTTCCTAACACTTCCCATTGCCAGCCTCACATAGAGCAAATTGCAATAATGCAGCTGGAATGTAACTAAGGCATGTGTCCCCATGGCCAGATCAGATTTCTCAAAAAATGCTCACAGCTGGTGCACTAGTTTTAATTGTGCAAACCTGGGCATCCAAGATGTGCACCTGTGTTTTCAAGGGGAATGTAACCCCATCCGGCACAGGCTGCATATCTATTGGTTGTTGTGGGTTTTTGGGGCTCTTTGGTCATGTTCTGAAGGTTTTGTGTTCTGAAATTTGTTTTTCCTGATGTTTCGTCAGTCTCTGTGGCCAGCATCTTGATGCCAGCCACAGAGACTGGCGAAAAGTCAGGAAGAACAACCTTCAGAACATGACCAAAGAGCCCCCAAAACCCACAACAACCATTAGATCCCGGCCGTGAAAGCCTTCGCGAATACACTGCATCTCTATTCTTTGAATAATTTCCCAGCTTCTAAGTAACAATACAACTCTTACATTTTTTATTTTATTTTCTACTGCCTTTTTATTCTTCCTGCATTCTAGATAAGAGATTTTATTCTTCCTGTATTCTAGAATATAGATTTTTAAAATGATTTTATTTTCTATTGCCTCTTTATTCTTCCTGTATCCTAGATTAAAGATGGACACAAACTGCTGGTTCAGTGGTTCATGCTGGTCCCGGGATGACAGCTGAACAGGTGCTCCATGGTTCAGGCCCCTCCCCTCTCCAGTGGGCACCTAATCCAAAACACCCCAGCTTCTCTGCCCTGCCTCCTCCAGGCGCTGCCTCTGAGTGGGTACCTGCCATAGGGGGCACAGCACTGAACTGCACAAAACCTGTTCAGATGTCATCCAAACAGGCATGAGCTGCCATTTTGTGCCCATCCCTATTCTAGATATTGGATGTGAGGGTGATCTGGCTGCAACATCCGTCACTTCATGGATCACCAGTGTTGATGCAGCTGATCTGGCTGGCTAGGCAGGTGTCCTTTTCCTCCCTCATCAGTCTATGTGCATCCTTCCTGAATCTGCATGTGGTGGAAGAGGACACCATCTCAGAGACAAGTGTACCGTTCTTGTACAGTCAAGTGTTTAATTGTTGTTATTACTGATCGTAAGACAATAATAAGATTCTTTCACAACTGGAAACAAGGGACATTTAGATAGATGCTTTTCCAAAGAGGTCCTCAACTTCCAAGGCAAATTGTTTGTACATGGGATAGTACTGTGTGGGACTGATGAAAATTACCTCCATAACCACAGCATATGACCTTTATTCTGCTCCCACAGATGGTAGCTGTGGTGTTTTGCAGTGTAAAATATGAATGCTTGGAGACTGCCTTTAAAAATTAACAATAGGAAAGAAATTCTGCTAACTGTTCATTGCTAGCTAAGATTTGCTGGCTTAATATTTTCCCCAGTTTCACTTCTATCCCATTAAAAGGAATTGTTCTTGTTACTGTTCCATTTCTCTAGTGAGGCTGCATACAACAGTTATATATTCATCTGCACTCAGTGTTCTGAAACCTTCTGCTTATATCCTCCTACTCCTATCCTGCTAAAAATACATCTTCCTCAAACATGTGGATTTTTAAAAAAACACTATTAATTTGAATTCATATGTTACACTTGCAGCTCACTAAAAGCAGCCATTAAAGATCCTATCACTTCTAATACCTCTCTGCATTGATTCTTCATTGATGCATATTAGGAACAGATTACTGTGAGCCACTGGAAAGCTTAATTCTATACTGCTAGGTTGCGTCTTTGCATTGGTTTTTGCTACAGCATACCGTACTTGGAAAGCTGCAACTTCCAGTTATTGGTCAAGAGAGGATAGGCCCAAGCTAAAATTTCTGAAATAAATTCTAGGGACTTGTTGCTTAACTGCTCAGTTCTAAGTGTGGTTAATTAGAAATGACACCTACTACACCCTCCCCCAACTTTTGGCAACTAACAGGCATATGAGGAAGTGTTCCAGGCACCATAGCACAATAGCCCATTTCTCAGACAGGCAAATTGGTGAGGCTAAAAATCAACTTCTCAAAGAATCTGAATATAAATTAGAGTCACAGATTAAAAATAAAGTAGCTACTTGTAATTAGATATTTCTGGGCAACAATAACTGCAACCTGTTCCTTTGAAAAAGTAACAATCCAAGCTCTGTTTCTAGCCCCAATTTTTAAACCTACACCACTGTACCCGGCTCTTGTCCCAAAATATCACCAGTTTCACAGAACAGCAAGTCAATTATTTTACAAGATAATCTCTCATCTTAATTCAAAGTTTTCCCCCCCACCAAGTGCGTTTCCCAAATGGAAAGATTGCTCCCAGTTACTGACATCTTATCTCTCCTCCACTTATAGATACGCAACCCTACACTCTTTATCCATGTGTATTAAAAGGAGCCTTCACTCCAGCAAGTTAAACTTCAAATTGCAGCCTACAAAGCTACAAACGATTTACCTCCTAATCTTAACTGTACACATGTCGACTACATTTTTGCCCCCGAAACGAAATTTCATGAAACGTACAAGGAGGCTTTTCTCAATCCCCCCCCCCATTCCCCGGCTCCTCGGCGGGCGGGGCCACGGGCAACCACCGAACGAAAGCGCTTCAAATAGAAAAACTTCCCGTCCAAGGGGAGAAACAAAAGGTAGCCAATGCGCAGGCGCATTCTACCTCCTCCTCCTCGCTCTTCTCCCCGCCCCGAGGTTTCTTGGCCAATGACAGAAGACAAGTGGGAAATGAAGAGGATGAGTGGGCGTGGCTGAGATTGCGAGTCCTTTTCCTGTTGTCGCCGGGGCTTGTGAGCCTCCGCGGTCTGTGTACAGTTGGGCGAATTACGGGTGGCGCGTGCGGGAGCCGCCCTCCAGCCATGGCCGCTGGCGAGGGAGGAGACGAAGAGGTCCGAGTGCTGCAGACTCTCCGCGGAAAGATTTGTGAGTCATTGGGAGGGGTCGAAGGAAGCCGAGTCCGTGTGTCCGTGAATGTGCGTCTGTCCGTGAGGGACTGAAAAGCGAGGGAAAGGGCGGGGTGGGGGGGAGGCAGCCGCGGTCTGGAACAGGACGGTGAGCCATGGCCGCTGGCGAGGGAGGAGACGAAGAGGTCCGAGTGCTGCAGACTCTCCGCGGAAAGATTTGTGAGTCATTGGGAGGGGTCGAAGGAAGCCGAGTCCGTGTGTCCGTGAATGTGCGTCTGTCCGTGAGGGACTGAAAAGCGAGGGAAAGGGCGGGGTGGGGGGGAGGCAGCCGCGGTCTGGAACAGGACGGTGAAGACAGAGCCGGAAGAAAGGGCTTTTTGCCTCAGGGCTGGCCTCCCTGACTCGGGCGCTGTAACCGAGCCCCTCGGAGATGCTGCTGAGGCG